AAAAAAAAGAGATAAAATTACATCAATTAAATTGCTGTAACAAATTGAAATCACTCGTTTAAATATAATGATAAATTTGTATCTTATCTTAAAAAAATTATGCTAACATGATATTAGAGTATAATAATATTAACAAGAGAGTAGAGTGAGATTTTGAAATGGAAAAGGTGCTTAAGTCTTTTCATATATTGTGATCTTGACTTTGGTAAGCTATAGACTTAAATATAAAAATGACTTTTATATTATATATTTTTTGTTAATTTAGTATTTAAAAAAAATATAATTATTAGTTTAGTATTCAAAGTTTCAATCCATTATTCACTTTGAAATTTTGGATCAACACTGTTAATCATTTTACTAATGTGATATAAATATCTAATAAGATATTAACACGTGTAAAAAAAAAATTTAAGCAACATCACATTATCAATTGTTATATTAACAAAAGAATTTCAAAAATAAATTTTGAAAATTTTTTAAAAAATATGATTTATTTTAAAAAATTATAAAAATAAAAAATGATATATTTTTAAAATTATAACAATTAAAATTTAAAAATTTAAAAAATTCAAAAAAATCTTAAAAATCTTAAAAATTTATTAAAAAATCCAAAAATTTTAAAAAAATTTAAAAATTTATAAAAGGATAATTTTAATAAAAATAAAATTTATTTAAAATTCACAAAAAATTAAACAAATGAAAGTTAAAAAAAATCTAAAAATTTTTGAAAACTTTTGAAAATTAGAAAAATCTAAAATTTTTTGAAAAATTCCAAAAATTTTAAAAAATTATGAAAAATTAAAAAGTTTTAAAAATCTGAAACATACTAAAAAATTTTAAATCATTAAAAATTTTTAAAAATAAAAAACTTAAAATTTTAATAAAAAATTCATAATAATTAAAAATATATATAAAAAAATAAAATTGTAAGATTCAAAAAATGAAAATTTTTTCAAAAATTTTATAAATTTTTGCAATTTTTTAAAAAAGTTTCGATTTTTTTATTTTCAATTTTTTAAGTTTTTGTGATTTTTTTTTAATTTAAGACATTTTTTATTAAGTTTTTTTAATTTTTAATAGTTTTAAAAAATATTTTAAGTTTTTATAAAAACTTTTTACAAATTTTAAAAATTTTCCTTTAATGTTGATATGACAATTGTTAATCAACATTAATTAGACTTTTTTCAACGTGTGTTAGTTTCGCTTCTTCTCGTTGTCCGACAAACTCTTTGTTTTTCGCTCCATGCGTGCACAGACATCCAAGAAACTTGCTCGGTCGTGTAATTGCCAGCTGTAATACTAGCAGCAGCGAGCTGATTACTGAAGCAGCAGTTGCTGAGAGTACTGAAAGGAATAGAACAGGCATTGGATTGAAGAACTTGACTGAGATTTTCTGGGTTGATGTACATCGTGCTGAAGGGAGGCCATTGAATGTTAGGCTTGATGAACCGTTGACCATTGGATCTTCACGGCTTGAAGAGGTCGAGAATGTGGCTGTCAGAGTTGAACTGAGCAATGACTGTGTTGGGTGGGGTGAGGTGTCAGTTCTTCCTTGGGTTAACTGGAACCAGGCCATTGCTCTTGAAAAAGTGAGAGGCATGTGAAGTTCTGGGGCAGGGTCCCGCTGTGACTTTGAATTTGATTTTAGATCAGATTTCAAAGATTGTTCCTGGAAGTGAATTTGCTTCAGTGAGTATGCTACGACCTGTCCCTTTAATTTCTTGAATACCTTTTATTTGTTCCTGGAAGTGAATAGCAAACTTTTTTTTAGAATAATTGAGATTAATATTTTTTCTTAATTTTCACAAATATATATATGCCTATTTATATAGTTCAATTCTATTGATGGAATTCTAAATTAACACATATTATGAATTAGATAATGCTTGTTAAAGGGTTTTTGTTCACTTGACCCAATTTATATTCCAAAAATTAAAAAATAAAAACTAAATAAAATAATATTTTTGAATATAATATAGAATTATATTAATTCAAGTTATTATTATGAAAAAAATTGATATTAAATAATTTTATTTAATATTTTTGACTTTTTTATATTATTATTACCTTTTATATAAATTTAATTAATAATTTCTAATTATATTATTTAATATTATATTTAATTATAATATTATTTTAATGTTATCAAATTCTAGTATGATTAAATAAAATAAAAACATTATTCACCAGATGAAGTTTCATGTTTTCAATATATGACAACATTATTTACCAAATATATTTTTTGTGTTTAAAATCTTTAAAAACAAAAATTTCAAAAACAGATATAAGAAATACTATGTATGTTTGCTGCCCTTTTCTTGAACAATGCATTGGATCCTTATAGCTGTCTCTGTGTTTGAAGGTTAGGGCTGGACTGGAAATGGCATTGATTGATGCGGTTGCTAATAGCATTGATGTGCCCCAATGGAGATTATTTGGAGGAGTGTCCGATACCTTGTCAACTGCTGCTACAGTTAAGTCTCAACTACAATCATATATATTACGTTACAATGAATGTTTAACTATGAGTGGTTTAATTTAGTCATAATCAATTTTGGGAGCACATCACATATAATTATATTAAGATAATTGACAATTTTGATATCAATCAAGAAAGTCCCAATCAATTGAATGTTGGCACCAACGAAGCAATCAAATGATTAATTAATTATACAAAAGATAATAATTTAATATGAATAAATTAAATCGATTTACGTTTACGGATAAAAAAAAAGATCTACTAATTACAGAGAATTATAAATATATAATCTTAATCAATCATTCAACAATTAATAGCAATAGATTCTCTCATTTTTCTCTAATCTTATGAAATATTTTCAAATCAAACAAATACACACTAATATATACCCATGGATTATATTTATGTGAACCATCTCATTCTATTGTAATTTATTAAAACATACACACTTTCTTGTAGTTTTATAAAGTGTCTATCTAATAAAATTCTATAATTTTTTTACTTTTTTTTCTCATATCTAATCTGATAAAGACTTTATCTATTTATAAATATATAAACTTGCCTATTAAAAAAACTTTTTTTTTTATAATTCTTCTTTTGTAAGTCTTTTTATCCATCAAGTTATATCTAATTAATTTCAAACAAAATTTTTATGAGATTTGAGTTATTATTTTCAATCTTCACCTTGACTAAAATTTCATCAATCATCAATCTCCATATTAGAGATGTTTGACTCCATCTGCAATGAAAGTTTCGTAACAATCTTCTTTATGTATTCACATTTTACACAAACATTCAAAACATGAACTCAAACTCTTTCCTTGAATCAAGTTTCTTCGGGCTTGCCTTTTCCTACATCTCGAATCTTCAGTTCTAATACTATTTATTAGGATCATAGTAACTCTGATACCAGTTTTTAGGCAAAAAAATCCTAATTAATTGAATATTGTTTTTAACAGAAGCATAATCAAACAATCAATCTATCAATCACACAAGCAATAATAATTTAATGTGGTTTAGGTTAATTGGGCTATGTCACAAATAAGAGAAAAGATCCACTAGTTGTAAAGAATTAGAAACAAATAATCTAAATCAATAACCCAATAATCAATACCTATAGATTCTCTCAATCACCTCTAATCCTATGAAGTATTTTAAATCTAAATAAATACATACTTATGTGCATTTATGCATCATATCTATATAGACTATCTTATTCTCTCATATTCCAGTCAAACATACATATCTATAAAACATCTATAAAGACGTTAATTTCTTATAGTTCTATGAGGTATCTATTAATAAATTTTATAATTTTTTTATATTTTTTTTCATACCTAATTCTGTAAAGATTATACTTATTTATAAGCATACAAATTTTATCTATTAAGAATACTTTTCTCTTAAATTTTTTTTATAAATTTTTTTATTTATCAAGTAATATTTAATCAATCTTAAATAAATTTCTTATGGGATTTGAGTTCCAAAAATTACTATAATATAATTAATCAATTATAATTCAGCATTGCCTAAGGTTTGTAAAAAATTATTTAAAGACTAATTATAAGATTGTAATAAAAAGAATTGTAGGTGAAATACTTGCAGATGGTTGAGGTTGAGATTGAGACTCTCTGATTAATTTCTATATATATAGATTCCAACTGCTGCTTCGGCTAAAGCTTTTGATCTGGCTGCTAAGTATTGCAAACTAGGATTTAAGACATTGAAGATTGAAGTGGGTAGCGACCTAAACGCAGATATTGAAGTTCTTCAATCAGTATGAGCAGCTCACCCTCATTGCTTATTTATCTTGGATGCAAATGAGGGGTAAAAGCATTCGTTTTAAGTATCAAAATAGATTACAAAATAAAAATTAAAATACTAAACCAATAATTTTATTTTTTTAATTATCAAATTAACAAAAAATATATATAAAATAAAAGTTAATTTTATATTTAATTCTAAACGATACTTAAGCAATGTTTGATGCTGTTGGATTTGATTATTAGTATATTCGTGTAGTGTAAAATAGTATAATTTATGTATTCATATAATGTTTTATATAAAAATTATGTATCATAATTTTATTTATATAAAAATATAAAATATAATGTTTTTATTTTATTAAATTTATATATAATAATTATTATAATTTTAAATTATATCATATTTATATTTTATTTTTATATTATATTTTTATGATATTATTATATCATATTTAAAATCATCGAGACTTATATATGAGATGAGCAACGCGGTGAAAATTCGAATTCCATCGCATTGTCAAACTCACTGAGCGAGGCTTAGCAATTTAGCATACGACCTGCTATGAATTGGGCTGACACATTGAGCGGGCCAACATTTCCGGACCGCACCTGGAACGCATAGAGTGGAGACACCTCCAAAGGTCACCAGCACCAATCACCAAAATATGCTACAAAGAGTATCTATCGAATAATTAAACAAAAATGACGGTTTCTAGCCGCAAGATAATGTTTTCTTTTGTTGTTAACTATAATAATATGATAGTAAAACACCCAAAAAATTCATAAATAAAGCATGACATTGCTTGACTTGGACATTACTGAACTTCAAGAAACTAATCAGGAAGAATGCTGAGTTCGACCATGGCTTCACTTGGTTTCGCTTCTTCTCTTTGTCCAACAAACTCTTTGTTTTTCGCTCCATGCGTGCACAGACATCCAAGAAACTTGCTCGGTCGTGTAATTGCGAGCTGTAGAACTAGCAGCAGCGAGCTGATTACTGAAGCAGCAGTTGCTGAGAGTACTGAAAGGAATAGAACAGGCTTTGGATTGAAGAACTTGACTGAGATTTTCTGGGTTGATGTACATCGTGCTGAAGGGAGGCCATTGAATGTTAGGCTTGATGAACCGTTGACCATTGGATCTTCAAGGCTTGAAGAGGTCGAGAATGTGGCTGTCAGAGTTGAACTGAGCAATGGGTGTGTTGGGTGGGGTGAGGTGTCAGTTCTTCCTCGGGTTAACTGGAACCAGGCCACTGCTCTTGAGAAAGTGAGAGAGGCATGTGAATTTCTGGGGCAGGGTCCCCCTGTATCTTTGAATTTGGCTTTAGATCAGATTTCAAAGATTGTTCCTGGAAGTGAATTTGCTTCAGTGAGTATGCTATGACCTGTCCCTTTAATTTCTTTAATACCTTTTATTTGTTCAATTTCTTTCATATAGAGAGAGTTTAGAATAGATACTTTTTATTAGAATAATTGAGATTAATTTTTTTTTATTAATTTTCACAAGTATATTCGTCTATTTATATAGTTCAATTCTATTGGAATAAGACTCTAATAACACTTAAGTGGAATTCTCTAAGGAATAGAATTCTAAATTATCACATATTATGAATTAGATAACGCTTGTTAATGGTTTTTGTTCCCTTGACCCAATTTATATTCCAACAATTAAAAAAACTAAATTAAATAATATTATTGAATATAATGTAAGAATTATATTAATTCAAGTTATTATTATGTTATAAAATTTAATATTAAATAATTTTATTTAATATTATTGATTATTTTTTATATTATTATTATTATCTTTTATACAAATTTAATTATTTTAATGTTATCAAATTCTATTATGATTAAATGAAATAAAAACATTATTTACCAAATATGTTTTTTGTGTTTAAAAGTTTGAAAAACAAAATTTTCAAAAACAGATACAAGAGATGATACTGTGTATGTTTGCTTCCCTTTTCTTGAACTATGCATTGGATCCTTATTGCTGTATTTGTGTTTGAAGGTTAGGGCTGGACTGGAAATGGCATTGATTGATGCTGTGGCCAATAGCATTGATGTACCCCTATGGAGATTATTTGGAGGAGTGTCCAATACCTTGTCAACTGCTGCTACTGTTAAGTCTCAACGACAATCATATACATTACATTTAAATATGAGTGGTTTAATTTAGTCCATTGATGATCAATTTCGGGAACTTATCATCTACAATTATTATGATGCAATTAATCAATTATAATTCATTATTTTGTAGGATTCATAAAAAATTTATGTAGAGTCCACACTTATAAGTGGTAGACTCTAAATAATTTTTTGTGGTGAGTGGCTAATAAAAGATTGTAGGTGAAATGCTGCAGTTTCATGGTTGAGATTGAGACTTTGTCTTATTAATTTCTATATATACAGATTCCAACTACTTCCTCGGCTAAAGCTTTTGATCTGGCTGCTAAGTATTGCAAACTAGGATTTAAGACTTTGAAGATTAAAGTCGGCAGAGACCTAAATGCAGATATTGAAGTTCTTCAATCGATACGAGCAGCTCACCCTCATTGCTTATTTATTTTGGATGCAAATGAGGGGTACACTTCAAAGGAAGCTATTGAAGTTCTTGAAAAGCTAAACGGTAAAAAATTTTCAACCTGACAAGTTGGCTTACAATGAGATAAATATGACAATTTGTTGTAATGCAATGGACTTAGTTGAATTGTAATTTGTTTCACTGATTAGAGAAGTGTTTTTCATAATTCATTTTATTGCAGAAAATGGGGTAACTCCTATTCTCTTTGAACAACCAGTACACAGAGATGACTGGAGAGGTCTAGGTGATGTGAGTAGTGTTGCTAGAGAGAAGTATGGGACATCTGTTGTTGCAGATGAAAGTTGCAGGAATTTGGTTGATGTTCAAAAACTTGTAGAGGAAAATCTTGTGGATGTCATCAACATTAAACTATCCAAATTTGGGGTTCTTGGGACCCTTGAAATTGTTGAGATGGTTAAAAAATCAGGATTGAACCTTATGATAGATAGTGTGGCTGAAACTAGACTTGCCACAGGTGTTGCTGGTCATTTAGCCGCAGGGCTTGGTTGCTTCAAGTAATTGTGCCTCTTCCTTGTATTTTTACGGGAATACTAACTTTGCATTTGATGTTATCTATTGCATTTATCTGGAATTTTGAACTCAATCAAAGGTGATGCAACTTTGTTTGCAGATATATTAATATTAGTGCCCCAATTTTGTTATCAGAAGATCCAGTTGTGGGAGGTTATGAAGGTACAATACAATTGCTTTAATTCCTACACTTGTTTGTAGTCTATGCCCTTTTGAGTTGTATGGTTTATATGTGGTTTTGGGCTTCCAGAAACATATTAACATATTCAGTTTTTCCTGTGCTAGTTTCTGGTGCTGATTACAAGTTTGTAAATAGCAGAGGGCAAGGAGGTTTTCTCAAATGGGATATTCTCTGATGGTGAGCTTTCCTATTGTAATCAGACTTCCATGATTAAAATTATGATCTGATGATCTTTGTGCTTTACTTGTTTAGTATACTAGCCCATGTAGTAAACATCACCAGTTGCCCATTGCTATCACTTCTCCATGGTCCATGGCTCCATTCCACCGTTCATTGGTTCTTGAATGGGCATTAATGGAGTCTGCTATAACCAAATGTTCTGGAATCTGTATAGCCTTAGGCTGATGGTCATATGTACATTTATTTTTCATTACGATTCAAACTGCTTGGTTGTGTTTGGATTCAGTACAAAGTATTTTTGCAATTAGCCTATTCATTTTGACCAATATCTAACATTCTGCAGAAATTGACCGGATCTGCTCTCTCAAAGAAAGGATTCAGAAATTTTAATGGTGACTTCAACTAAAAGATTAACCAGCATGACAATGGTATGTTGAAGTATGTTGGGCAAGCTTCAGCCAGAGATAAGAGTTTTCCATCCTTTAGTCAGAAAGCTTTGTAGTCTGAACAACTGGATTTCCTCCTGTATTTCAGGATTCTGTAATGTTTGTAAGGTCAAGTCTATTTATTTATAAAGTTCAACAAGCAAATAAACAAAGTATGAGAGCTGAAATCTGAAATGTACAACTAAATATTGAGTCCTAGGCAACTCAATGTTATCCACAACTGAATTTGTGCAGAAATCTCAACTTGTCTGAAAATTGATTCAATTTGAGCGTTAATCTAAGATTTAATACGAAAATGATAAAAAAAATAAATATATAATTTAAAATTTTAATAAAAATAAAAAATATATTTCGACATATAATTTTTTAAAAATATAATATAAAGATATAAATTATTAAGATGTAAATTATTTTACAACATGTGGGTCAAATTTTTAAATCAAACTATTATGGCCGGCGCCGAGAAGCACGACAAATTGACGCAGTCCATACATTTAATAATTACTTGAGCTGTGCAGGCTACCGCCGGATTGTTGTCAAAATTCGGCAATATTGAAACAATCTCACAGGCAGACAGAATTACTGGGAGAAAATGACAAATTACAAAAGGCCAAGCGCGAGGGCAAATGGTTGAAAAAAAAAAAATTTTCTGACATGCTTGCCCATGCTAGTGAGTCCTCGGCAATGTTAAAAAAATGATTAATGTTATGAATAGGTTTTAAATTATAATAAAATATTTAATATAAAATTTAAATTAAAAAAATATATAATATAATATATGAATCATATATGAAATTTTAATTAATATAATATTTATTTTTAATATTATTAGTTTTAAATATTGATATATGATAAATAAATAATTTTTTAAGTATTAAATTGTTAAAAAATTGAGTTAATAGTTTTAAATTATAATAAAATATTTAATGTGATATTTAAATTTTAAAAATTTTTAATATGATATATAAATTATAAATTTATTAATTAAAATGATGTTTAAAGAATTATTTATTTATTACATATTATGATTTTTAATTAATTATATTAAAATTATAAATATCACATTAATTAATAAATTTATGGATATTATTTTAAAAATTTTTAAAATTAAATATCATATTAAATATATAATTATAATTTAAAAATTATTTTTTAAATTAATTTTTAAAAAATATAAAAAAAATTTTTCTTTCAAATAAGGGAATTAAAAATAGCATATCCCCTATCTACGAGTTTGGGCAAGTGGTGAGGGAAAGTCTTATCTTTTAAGTCAACTTTTGGGGCTGAGAAAGGTTAAAATTACCTAACAGTTGTAGCACATTTAAGTTGTCTAAAGCTAACGAGATCTTAATTTAGTGGTAAATTTTTTTTTTTAAATTTTAAGTTTAAATTTTATTATATGTAAATTTAATTTTTTAATTAAATTATAATTTTTTATTTAATTATTTAATAATATAATAATTAATTATATAAATATAATTTTTATTTATAAATAAACTTTGAAAAAAATTATGGAAGTTATCTTATAGCAATTGAGGAAATCACTGGTGATTATTTTATAAATAAGAGGAAAAGTCTATCTCATAAGATAGATTTTGGAATTGAAAAATCCCAAAATCACCAAACTGGACGCTCCACCAACCATGTATATTTTTTTCATCGTCATGGATTTCTTTCTCTGAAGTACTTAAATATTCACTTTTCCATTTTCATAATTAATTCTACGAACTTTCTTGTTGCGACCGAGTCAACCTTACACAATTTCAACAAATGGATCAAAAGTTTTAGACAAACCTTTTTCCATGTTCATACTTAATGTCCAGTTCCAAGGAAATATATTCCTGCAGCCTTGACGATGCAATGCTATTCACAGCTAAATTTACTTGAAATCCCTACGTTTTTTCTTCCCAATTGTGCTTCTGGTCTTGTTTTAGAATTGAGCCTAATTTACTTTAATCTTCTTCCCATTTTTTAATTCAAATATTTTTAATTAAAATTATTAATCACAAAAAAAGAAATATTCCAATCGAACTCCTTAAATGGAAGTTACGTCTGCATTTTTTATTAAGTTGAATATTTAAGTGGAGATAAGTGATAGAAAGAGGAAAAATTTTTCCCTTCTTGTAAAAACTCACCACATAATCGGCCAAGAACTGATCAAGAAGAATGTAATCTAAAAAAAATATTGTTTATGCTGAGCTCAATCTAAGAACGTTTTTAAAAAGATTAAAAAGAAAAATAATTAGAGGTAAAAGTAAAAAATATTTCATATATTTATATTCTAACATGTAAATTAAAATAGGTAAGATTGAAAAAAAAAATAGTACAAAAAATTAAAGGTAAATTGAATTTATCTTAATGATAATATTTGTATTTATAAATAAGAGATAATAAATTATAAAAAAAATAATAATATGATCGAATTAATATGATACTAATTATATCAAATCAAATGGATATAAATATTAAAATTATTTTTAATTATATGCTAAACACACTTAATAAAAAAAATTATTATACTTTTTTAACTATCAAATACATCCAACAAATATGTTTAATGATGGTTATCAGGTAACTTGCTGTTGCAGTAACGAAGTCTAAAGGGGAAGAACCAACCAGAGACTATAGGCATCCGATTTGAGATTTTTTTTTATCAATTATTTCATATATATTGCAATATGATTACTTGCCCAACTATGAATAAGATCTATAACCCATCAATCAATTTATTATTATTGAATGGTTAATGCCGCCTAGAATAGTCAACATCAGCATCATTATGATTTGGAAAGCATTTCATCTTCCACTGATAGGCTTTTGATCTATTAACTTTCGGGCATTCCCATTAAAGACTGCAACAATTACTCAATATGTGGGGTTAAATGCACCACCAAAAGTAGCTTGGCTTTCATCAAGAGAAAAAAAAAACATTTATTTTTTATTTAACTTTTGGAGATTTTTTTTTTTATTTTAGTTACTTTTTTCTTCCTAAAATTTGTTACCCAAGTGAAAAATAACTTTCGCTTATATAATTTTTAAATATTTATTATTATTATTATTATTTATCATTAAAATATATAAATATCTTATTAAACATTTGTGTCATTTATCTATAGTCACATGACATGTCTAAGTTAGCAGGTCACAAAACAACATCCATGTGATATTAAAAAAATTAAATAACAACTTAAAAAATAATTTTTTTATAACCACATGGTAGGGCAAGAGCGGATCTGGGCGTAAACAAAAAAAAAGAAACTGAAATCATGTGTCCCAAATAAAACCTAAAGTGCTCGCACTACGAAATAATTTTTTTTAATATTATATTAGTTTAATAATTTGAATCTATTAGTTACGAAGCCCAAATCTTAAAACAATTAAACAAGAAATTTACTTGTTAGTCAAGTTTTAGTGCACAACAACAATAATTTCCTTCTTTCTTCCCGTTTTTTTTTTCTTTTTATTTAAATTTCTTTGTTCTTTCACTCATTCGTCATAACCAGCAGCGGACAGTAACCCGACAGGCAGACACCATGCATTTAGCGTATTCAGATTGAGTTTCTCTTACTTTCAAATTTTATATAAATAAATTAATATTTTTTAAAAATTATTTATTAATAAAATTATATCATTTAATTTCTTTTATTAATAAAATAATTTAATTTAATTTATTGATAATATATAAAATTTATATATTAATAATATATTAAATATAAATTTTTAAAAAAATAATTTATATGTTAATCCCTTAATCTACTTATAAAATAAAAAAATTAAATTATTTATGTATAAAAATAAACTCAAAAAGCTTTGTTCCGTGTTAATGTGATTTAAGTTTTTTAATGTTGATTGGTAAGTTTATAAATGCAATACAGATATTTTGATAGGCCCATCACGATCTGCAATTATGGCACTGCCTAACCATATTTTGAACTTATTTAATGCTTTTCAAGGTGTCAATTCAAGAGCCACCCCTATCATCCTCTTGGCAGGCTAGTGGAGACACCACATTGAGTTGTCCCCTTTTTAATGTTTTTTTATATTTATTAAATTTAAATTCATATACATATCAATGTTTTCAATTTGATTTTGATTTCTAAAAGATAATTTTATATTTATAAACAAAAATTTTACCTTATAACTTGCGTTACATTGAAGCATGATCTATTCTACTATATTTTTGCTTAATTTGTATAAAATTATCATAGAACATTTGAAATTATAACTGGTGTCATTAATTTTAAAATTTAATTAATTAATTAATTAAATTATAATAATCATAAATGCTGCAATTGAAAGTACAGTAGAGCTATACCAAAATTTTTCTACATTAAATGTAAGCATAAAATCCCATCGTGCAATGGTGAGATGTGCAAAGCTACCTTCTTCAATTGCCCAAAGGACCCGCATGTTTGAAGTTTATACCTCCAAAAGACTTGACTTATTGACTAATGAGTCATGACAGTTTGACACCGTCAATCATGGGCTAAAGAAACAACAACAATTACCATCCCAACTCCTATAAATTGTGTCGCAGCTCATGCCAAAAATGCACCAAATACAATTCAACTTTATTATTTTTTGTCACCAGTGTTGGGATTTTGTGTATGAAAAATATGAATACGTTTTCCTTTGTTTCCTTCTGTGCAGTGGCGCTGGTGGTGCTGCTATTTTCAGGTGAAACTCGCACGGCGGAAGCAGTGACATGTGACGCCTCGCAGCTCAGCCCCTGCTTGGCGGCGATCACGTCTTCAAAGCCTCCATCAGCCACTTGTTGCAGCAAGCTGAAGGAGCAGCAGCCATGCTTTTGTGGGTACCTTAAGAACCCAACTCTTAAACAGTTTGTCGACAATCCCAACTCCAAAAGGGTTGCTAGCACTTGTGGAGTTGCATATCCTAAATGTTAAAAAGTTTGCTTGATTAAAATATCTATTGGCAGCATAGGATTTTCTTGCTGTCAAGAACTGATCTGAATAAATAAATGAATAATGATGAGATGTGATAAGATAAGATAAAATTAATGTAATTATATAAATTTTACTTGTTTAAGGTGGAAGAAAGCAGTGACTTTTAGTATTTATATGTGCTCTGATGAATTATAATTAATGTTTCTTGTGGAAATATGGTTTATATTTTCTTATTTTTATTTTTCTTTGTTTTCTTTTTCATCTTTGATTTGAGATGAAATCTCAAACAATAACAATTTGTCATGATTCAAGGACATTTTTGTAGAACAAATGATACAAGAATAAAAAACTAAACCACGTTTTAATTAAGGTTAAGTAGAAGATTAAGGAAATTTAAGGTTCTATTATCTCGTTAATCATACTTACATACTTTTTCATACATAAAGAGAGATCATAATTTAAGGATAAAAAAAAGTTGGAGGCAGATATGAGCAGCTTGATGAAAACTTTAGATTGGATCAACTACCATCTAGTCAATGACGAGAGACAAAATGCTAATCAACTAAAGCAAAGGCTAATCGCTACATCCAATTTAAGGACTACTTTGCATTATTTAACAATCCAATTTATGGCATACATTATGTATGCTTTGCATTTAAATTTATAATTCATGATTTCTATTTTATATATATTTTGCAAATTCTTTTTTGTTATTTAACTTTATATTTACGCATGTTGAAAGTATTGCATATGACAGTTCAAAATCTCCATACTTCCAATAATTTCATTGATCTTATGAAAATTCTTCATTAAATTTAGTATGCAAAGGAAACAAAGAGAAATCATTATTAATTTCTTTTAGGGTGTGCTTGGTATAATGGAAAAGTAAAAGGATGAATAGAGGGAATGGAAATGCAGAAAGAAAAAGAATTTTGAATGTGGTTTGTATGAAAGAAAAGTGAGAAAAAAAAAGGAAAGATGTCAAATTTTCACACTTATTCACAATTACAAATCATTCTAAATCAAAAAGAAAAGAAGAAGCAAATGGGAAAGGTGTGAGTATTGTTGTATATTTAAAGATTGCCTATAATATTTTAGATTTTTATTTTTTATCTTAATATAAAAGGTTTATGATAGTAAATTAAATTAATTTTTAATGTCCAATTCCTTTCATTTTTCATTAATTCTATCAGACAATGGATAGAAATAAAATACATTTTTTTTAAATTTTTTTATTTTTTCCAATCAAGCACAATACATATCAATGGAAAGGAAAAGAAATATTTTTTCATTTTCTACTTTTCTTTTTCTTCCAATTTTTATCTTTCTATTTTTTTATCTAGCTTGAAGTTTTACAATCTTAACCTAACTTTTCAATGAATTAAAGAAGAAAATTTGAAGGAAAAATCAAAGGGTGAACTAATATTGATTGAAGATAATATTAATTTAAGAAAAAGAAGAAAAGAAAAAGAAAAGTAGGTCAACGAAAAAAAAGAAAGTAGGTCAATGATAAAATGTAAAAAAAAAAAAAAATCTTTTAGGCTAAAATCTAAATTTATCCCAATATTTTTATGTAAAAGTTAAGATGATGGAACAAAATTACTAAAAAAGAATATGCAATAATAAACCTACACATTTAATTTGGGTAAAAAATTTAAAGTTAGCAGATAACAAAATCGCTATCTGGTAAGAAAGCAAATAAAGATTCTAAAGATGTTTCACAAAATTTTCATCTATAATTATTTTAAAATTGAATCAAAATTAAGATAAAGTATTACATAAGTTATTCCTACTAAGATAAATTATTACATAGGTCACTCCAACTAAGTCAGCTATATGCTCAACCAATAATATGACTCCATGTCAACATTTGTTTTTTGACATCAAACTATAAAGAAAAGGTCAAATTATGCAATTAGTTCCTGCATTTATATGAAATATAAACTTTAGTCCCTATACAATAATTTACAAAAATTAGATCCTCATATTAGTTTAATTTAACAATGTTAGTCTAATTGATAACATTATTACTTGATTTTCGTTAAATTAGCTGACGCAGCTGTTGACCATGTTGATGTGGCATTGATTACAATAACGTGTTTAAATGAACGATATTAATTGATTTCTTGAAACTTACTTGGATTTTTTCAACGTGTATATATTTTGTCCACCTTTACTTCTAAAATAAAAAAAAAACCAAAAAAAAAATCAAATTACTAAAACCAAAGCTGAAAAAAAAAAAAACTAAATCGTTAAACAAAAAACTTAGGAAAATCAAGTTTATGTTATTATATTCTCCAATCTATTTTTTTTCCCAAATTGTTTTAGTGAAATTGTTCTCCAATCATATACTTTTTCACTCTCTTATTTTTCTCAAATCTGAATTAAAACCCTAAGTTCAACAAAGAAAGGCCTAAAATGGTTTAGTTTTCAACTATCGCCATTTTACCCAAGTTTGTTACTGTTGGGCTTATCGATTTAGATTTAGGGTTTTGGGTTTTTTTTTTTTCATTTTTAAGCATAAGGTTTGACTTCATTTACATTTAGGGTTTGACTCCACTTTTGCCACTTTTGTTGCTAAAATAACTTAGGTTGTTACCTTGTTTGTATGTATGTGATTTAGAATCTTCGATGGTTATAACAGGTGTTTGGTAATGGTATGTGGCCCTTTTGTATTGTCTTTCAATGTGACCTTGTTTCAAGTGTTGTTTGTAATGTTAGAAAAGATTTTTACTATTTCTGCATTTGTTGCATAATAGTTATTGCTAATAATATTTGTATTTGTAATTGATGAAAATAAGTGTTGTTTGCCATATGCCATGTTTATTTAATAATTTATGTAAATTATCTATTTATTTGTGTTATGAACATATGTTTATCATTTAGTATGAGTTAGGAATTATGCAAAATCAGGTACCATCATGAAGACAATTTCAAAAGAGCTCGTACAGTTGCTAAATATATGAATAGGTATGTAAATGAGTTTGATGAGGAACTTGATCGAATTTGTTAGTGAACAATACTAGGAACATTAAAGTTTTTAGGTTATGATTTGTCCAATAAGATTAAATTTTACTATGTAGAGATGGGTAAAACATTAGGTACAAAGTTGAAGTTGTTAATGGAAGCAAATGAAAGTATGAGAGATTTTGTGGTCATTTAAGGTTGGGTAAACCTATAAATATATATATGTAGAATATTTGGCTTGTCAAATTGATAATGATATTCCAAATGCTCTACTTGAACCAACTAAGGTTGGTAAAGGTGTAAATAACTTAAATGATGATGAGGTGATTGTGATTAAAAATATTGAGCCTACTAAACAACCTACACTTACTTTAAGGTAACATTGGTATCATTTTCAAGATCATCATGGTAACTTAATCACTGAAGTGATCTTATTACTAAGATGATCTTATCACTCATAATTTGGAATCACTTTGTTTATATAAGAATCATTAATTCTTAATAATTAAAGATCACTATGCTTTGTATTACTAAAATCAAACATTATTTTGTTTGAAAGTATCAAAATAATTATGCACATTATAATAGTTACTCAAGTTAATGATTTCATTATTATTTAAATATAATAATTGTAGACACCGCAATCTGTCTGGAGTTCTACTCAATCTTGTTTTTGTTAATTAAAAAAATAATAAATAATAAAAATGAAAAAAAAACTAACAGGTTAAATTTACGTGAAACTATGTGTGTGAGGAGTTTAAATTGGATTTAAATACTGAAGTTGAAATTAAAAGGGAATTGAACTCTTTTAGGGTATAGGGTTTTTTTGATCAGAACCCTATAAATAGATGCTTCCACGGTACACACAAAACACACATACAGAAACACAGAAGATAGAGTAGAAAACAAATAAAAAATTAGAGAAAAATCAGAAAACGCCCACGAAAGGCAGTTAGAAATTTGTTGGAAGGATTTTGGGGTGAAAAAAAATTTTTTTGGAAATTTTCTAGAAAATTTCCATCTTTTGGTAAATTTTTTGACGTCGATTAAATTTTATAATGAATTTTTCAGTACCGGTTAAATTTTTCAGTGAGTTTTTGGCCATATTCCCAGATTCTGGCAAGCTTTCCAGTTTTCGACGATTGCTTTCTAAAAATCGATGAACTTTTCGATAAACTTCTAACGAATAACCCAGATTCTGACAAGATTTTTTAAAATTTGATGAAATTCAACCAGTGTTCTTGAGGGGTTTTAGAGAGAGAAAGAGAAAAAAGGGGTGAAGAGAGAGAAAAAAAAAGGAGGTCTGAAGGAAAAATCGAGATTTAGGCTTATATACCTTTTGGAAATAACATTATTTTGGCGTTAAGAGACCTATCGGGATCTGCGCATTTCCATTCAAGTGATTCGACCCATAGTGCTGACCCACTTTTGACCAACGTACTAGCCAATTCCTTGAGTTGAGCTGAGTCGAGCCGTCAAGTCATGTCTCCCGAGTCACTTTTTGTGCCTTTAGCCGAGCCATATTAGCCGCCAAGCTGAGCCATTTCTAATTTTTTGATATTTTTTATTTTATTTAGTATTTTATTTATGTGTTTATTTTTTTAGTATTTTTGCATGATTAAATTTGAAAAAAAAATAAAAATAAAATTTTTTGAGAATAAATATTAATTATCCAACGATGAAATTTATAGAAATTTCAAATGATAAATTTTTATAAAATTCATAGGTGAAAAATTTTGTTTGAATTTATCCCAAATGGTGGAATAATTTAGATAAAGTTTTAATAACAATAAATAATATTTATTTTCAAACAAAAAAAAGAGAAAACCAAAAAAAATAAAAAAATAAAAAATTTGGAATTAAATTCAAATAAGTCAGTTAAAGAATACGTCTAGAGATAGAATGATGTAGTTTTTTAAGTGCAACTCCCTTTAACTGAAAAAGAGACCACAATGTTGTTTGTCAGCACTTTAAAATCTTTCTATTATAAAAAGATAATAGAGAATACAATAAAAAATTTTGTCAATATGGTGATCTTAGTCGAAATCATTAAAAATGCCATTAAAAATGGCAAGTTAAAAAGAAGAGAAACCAAGAAGGTGTTAAAAAAGAAAAAGACTAAAGGTCAAGCCATAAGCTTAGATAGATAGTTCATGAGTTATCAACCTTATCCACTACAAGGTTACTTCTCATACCATCATACTATGAACAATACCTCATCCTACCTATACCGGTCAGCCCCATTACCATTTTATCCACCAATATATCAGCAA